AAATGGTAAATGTGATATTTTCTTTTATGTTGTAATAAATTCATGTAAAGTCTCTTTTTTTATTGAGATAGAGTCTCACTCTGTCACCCAGCCTGAAGTGCAGTGACATGATCTCGGCTTACTGCAAACTTCACCTCCTGGGTTCTCAGCCTCCCAAATAGCTGGGACTAAAGGTGTGTGTCACTACACTTAGCTAATTTTTTAAATTTTTAGTAGAGATGGGGTTTTACCCTATTGACCAGGATAGTCTTGATCTCCTGATCTCGTGATCCGCCTGCCTCGGCTGCCCAAAGTGCTGGGACTACAGGTATGAGCCAGGCCAGTGAACTCTTAAGATATATATATTAATTAAATCCTCCAAGGCAACTAAAATTGTAAAGGTAAAAGGAACAATTAAAATATTTAATTATTCCACATAACATAATAAAGGAGAGAAACTGGAACTTTAAAAATGCATTAAATAGAAAATAAACATAATATACAGAGACACAAATACATTGATAATTACTTTAAATTAAATCAAACTGAAAACGCTAAGTAGTACTCTAGAAAACTCAATTGTAAGCATCTTGTCAAAGAGACACATTGTATACAAAACAGGAAAGAGTTGAGAGGATATAATAATAAATCATAGAACATGATACACCATGTACCCAAAAATACAGTTTTAAATACATAAAGCAAACATTTGTAGACTTAAAAAATAGTAGACATAAACATAGTGAAAGATTTTAAACATATATGTCATAAATGAGTCTCAGCCATTTCCACCTATTGCTTCTGGCCCAACGGTTAAATTTGACTCATTATCCAAAAGATCTGCTGCTTTTATCATGCTACCATATTGAAAAATTATTCTACATTATATGATCAGAAGTGCAGTCTTTTATTATGAAAAGTGGAGACAGAGGAAGTGTGCCAGCATTAATTTAGTCTAATCATCTAATTTTTATTTTTATTTTTTGAGACGAACTCTTGCTCTGTTGCCAGGCTGGAGTGCAGTGGTGCGATCTTGGCCCACTGCAACCTCCACCTCCCGGGTTCAAGCTATTCTCCTGCCTCTGTATCCCAGGTAGCTGGGACTAAAGGCACATGCCACCAGGCCCACCTAATTTTTGTATTTTTAGTAGAGACGGGATTTCACCATGTTGGCCACGATGGTCTCAACCTCTTGACCTTGTGATCCACCCACCTTGGCCTTCCAATAATCATCTATATTTTTAGGTACAGAAACTAAAACCAAGAAAGGTAAGATTTTACCAAGATCATGTAACTGTTCATACAAAGCAATAACCAAAGCCAAGTTTTCTAACATTAAATCTCAAATATTTTATCACATTATATTCCTCAATGAAACTCATTTAAGTATAACTAATAAAAAGCAATGATAAATATTATGACAACCTACTCCACAATTTACTGCAAGAAATCAATAACTCATGGTTATTCTCGACACAGTTTTTGAACTCTTGAAAAAAATATTCTCCAGATACTCAAATCAATTGCTGATATTTTGTCTTTTTTTGTTGTTGTTACTATTCCTTTTCTTTGTTTTGTTTTTTGTTTTTTGAGACAGAGTCTCGTTCTGTCACCCAGGCTGGAGTACAGTGGTGCAATCTCAGCTGACTGCAACCTCTACCCCCCTGGTTTAAGCAATTCCCATGTCTTAGCCTCCACTTAGCTGGGTTACAGGTGTAAGCCACCAGGCCCAGCTAATTTTAAAGTTGAGCTGTTCCTGAATTTCCTCAATGAAACAGATTTATTTGTTATGCCTTCTTCACAGGCAGAGTCATGAGAATTCTTTCTATATATATATATTTTCAATTGTGTTCATTGAGGTGTCCATAGTAGTTTCTGGTCGTTGTTTTTATTTCTGTGGGGTCAGTAGTAACATTCCCTTTGGCATTTCCAATTGTGTTTATTTGGATTTCCTCTCTATTCTTCATTACTCTATTTTATGGCCTATTTTATCATTATTTTTTAAAATTCAACACTTAGATTTGCTGATCTTTTGAAGGGTTTTTTGTATCTTGATTTCCTTCAGTTCAGTTTTAATTTTTGTTATTTCTCACCTTTTGCCAGCTTTGGGGTTGATTTTGTTTTTCTCTCATTCTTTCATTTGTGAAGTTAGGTTGTTAATTTGAGATCTTTCTAATTTTTTGATGTGGACATTTAGTGCTATGAATTGCCCTCTTAACACTGTCTTAGCTGTGTCCCATAGATTCTGGTATATTGCTTTTTCAAAGAACTTCTGGATTTCCACCTTAATGTCATTATTTACCCCCAAATCATTCAGGAGTACGTTGTTTAATTCCCATGTAAATGCATGATTTTGATCGATTTTCATAGTCTTGACTTCTATTAAAAATTTGTTTTCAATGTTGAATCTTTTAAGATAGAATATGTATAGCTAAAGGGACCATAAAATCTGGAGACATTTATGAAAACATTTTGCTTACAAAATGCCTCAGCACCACATTAAGCTTGTATATGGGCCTATATTTTTGAGTTAGCCATTTATTAGCTTCTCACCCAATGATACTAGCCAAAAACCTAGGAGTCCTTACTGGCTCTATCTTTTCTCTCAATCCTTTAATAAATTACAACATTTGCTATTTATATTACCTAATAACCATCCTTAATTTTGTCATTTTTAATTTCCATCCCAACTATACTAGTCTAAATTAACATAATATTTCATTTCAATAATTGCCATATTCTTAAAATGCAAAATTGACTGTTTATCATGCTGCTTCTATCATTTCAAGGGCTTCGCAGTGTTCCCAGAGAAAAAAGCAAAAACCCAAATTCAGCCTAAAACGGTCCTATAATTTTATCCTAATTACTTTTTTATCTTTATCCCAAATCATGTCCCATCTGCTTTTCTGCACACTCCCAGCATTAGCATTATGTTAGTTTTTTTGTATTTGCTATGATATACCTTGTCCAACATACTTTGTACCTCTGCTAAAATGCCTCTCCTCAGTCAACCAACTCCTTGAAATGATTACATTATGCCTTGAGTATTACATCTTTAGAAAATCCCTTAACCTTTCTTGCTGGGTCTAAACCTCATCTCAAAGTATTCTTTTAGTAGCCCTTAGAACAGTTGGAAATTTATATTTGTTTTTGCAGTATTTAATAACTGTCTAGTTATATAGAAAATAAGTGACATAAAAGCATGGACCATGTCTATTTTTAATTAAAATTTTGTGAACATTGTCTAACTCATAGTAGTCACACAGAAAAAAGATTTTGTAGAATAAACATATGATCTTTGCTCTAATTGAAACAGCATATATCACATCTAAGCCTCCAATCATTATGAACAAACAATGTTTAGTTAGGCTCAGGTTCTGAATGGTAACACAGATGCTATGATAAGCTGCATAGCAACCAATGCCAAAAATCTAGTACCTTGTATAAAAGCAATCATTTATTTAGTGCTTATGGATTTATAGGTAAGTTGCAATTTGATTAAGCTCAGGTGGAATTACCTGGGCTCTGTTGAACTAGGAAAAACTACTAGCTTTGAGTTAACTATATATATATTTGGTTTCCATATGTTACTCATTGTTACTAATGTTTTAGGTCTGAAAAAGTAAATTGTTGCTACACAGTATAGTGATATGAACATACTAAATAAACAACAGTAGCAACAGCAATAAACAGCAATAAACCACAATTAAATGTGGTCCAGCTAAAATAGTAGTATATTAATTAGATCTGCTACAGGTAAATCTTCATTCTAGGGCCTAAGCAAAGGCTTCCTGGTCATGGATTCTGCATAACCAAGGCCAGCAGCCCCAAGAAGGCAGGTGGCACCTTTTTGAGAATTCTAAAATCTCATGTTGAAATTATTTTTGTACACATTCCATAGTGTAAAGCAACCCACATGACAAAACCACAAATTAGTGGTCAAAAATGTACACTCTACCCACAGGGAAGCTATGGCAAAAGTAGAGAAAGCAGGAAGAACTGTGGACAAATAATACAACCTATACCAGCCGATAAATTGTAACGATGTTAAAAATTTGTCTTAGTTACTAGCATATAAAAAATTAAAATTCTAAATTGTTATCACCAGAAAGTCATCAAAATATCAAAAATAACCTGAGAGATGCTAGGTGCTACCTGACTATCCAATTAAGAATTATCCATTTACCTAAACTCTGACTTCTACTCAGAATACACATTTAATCCCATTTCATTCGCTTTGGTCCTCTAGATATAAACATTCCTCTGACCCACTTTGATCGCTGTTTCAATATTTATCTCTGGAATATACCTCCAGCTATGTTAACTGTGTACTGGATTTAATACAGAATGGCATGATCCTGTGTTTTGAGCCAATACTAACAGGTAGTTGCCATTCCATTTTGAGCTGCCTATCCCTAACCCTGTTGATACATTAAGTTGAACTATTGGTAAGAATAAAACTGTCCAAGAATAAGAAAATACGTTTAAATGTGGTACAGCTCAAATAGTAGTATATTAATCTGGGGGCTGGAAGAGAAAATTTAAAAAATATAATAATTATGGCATGGGTTTATATAAATTTTGGACTGCCTCCCGGTAGTGTTTTGCCAGTCCCTAACAGTGACGAGTTTTCAGTTAACCTTTACTACAGAAATTCTAGCATCACAGATATTTTTCAATATGATTGGAAGCTATGCACAAACTAGTCCCACTGGAAACAAAACATTAATTAATGTTCTTTTAAAAAATAATTTGACTGTCTTAAAGAAGGAAATTTGATTATATATGTATATATATTGGTTTCCATATGTTACTAATTGTTACTAATGTTTTATCACAGTATAGTGATACGAAGATACTAAAAACAAAAGAAAAAACAGCAACACCAATAAGCTTCCATATTTAAAGAAAACTAACCACAATTTTTAAATGCAGCTACAACATCCCAGCCAGGTGCAGATTCTTTCCCTGTCCTTGAATACCCCCGAAACCAAAAATACATACTATCTTCTTTTTTTTTAAAAGTTCAGCTTTTTATTGAACACATTATAAAAGAGGTTTAGTCAAAAAAGACCAAAGCCCATGTCATCATCAGACTCCTCGGATTCTTCTTTCTTTGCCTCCACTTTCGTCTCCTCTGCTGGAGCAGCCCCGGTGCAGGGGGCAGGACCTCCTGCTGGAGCAGGCCCGCCAGCCTCTACATTGCAGATGACGCTCCCAATGTTGACGTTGGCCAGGGCCTTTGCAAACAAGCCAAGCCAAAAAGGTTCAGCATTTACACTGGCTGCTTTAATGAGGGCATTGATCTTATCCTCCGTAACGGTCACCTCATCGTCGTGCAGAATGAGGGCCGAGTAGATGCAGGCGAGCTCGGAGACGGAGGCCATGGTGCGGGTGAGCTTGGGGCTAGCGCTGCCTGACGTGGTGCTAGTCGCCGGGTGAAGTGAGGGCCTCACCCCAGTGTGGCCTTAGCTTCCTCGGAAGGGCCGAGCACCTTGGCGCCAGCTGAGGAAAGCATGCTATCTTCTTTCTCTCTTTTTTTCGAGACAGAGACGTGCCCTGTCACCCACGCTGGAGTGCAGTGGGTCCACTCAGCTCACTGCACCCTCCGCTTCCCGGGTTCAAGCAATTCTCCTGCCTCAGCCTCCCAAGTAGCTTGGATTACAGGCACGCGCCACCATACCCAGCTAATTTTTTGTATTTTTAGTAGAGATGGGCTCAGGCTGTTCTCAAACTCCTGACCTTGTGATCTACCCACTTCCGCCTCCCAAAGTGCTGGGATAACAGGCATGAGCCAGCGTGCCCAGCCCATACTATCTTATTTCTATTACAGAATAAATTCAGATTGATTTACTATTTGCATGAATAAATAATAAAAACATTTTATCCTTTAGACTCTATCAATTTGTCATTGGTATGTCCCTTAGTCTCATACTTAGCTAATTTGCTTCCTGCTTCATGTGATCATCCTTCTATTATTTGTAAACATCTAGTAATCCTGCACCAAGATGTAGCCTATTTTCCGTAATAAGCATTGCCACTTATTTCTTCCTTTCTTCTTTAATGATATTCTAAGGACTATAATCCTCTACAAATGCACATACTGGCAAACATTATAAATTTGGTTTTTGATAGAAAATGCAGTAATCAAGATGTGGTATGGCCAGGTTGGAATGGGCCTAGAGCTGACTTTATGCCAAAACAGCCATTAAAATACCTTCAGCATCATGAATGCAGTTACTCTAAATCTCCTCATAGTTTCCACAAAGGTAAAATTTGCATACTCTGAACAATGCTCATATCTTAAATTTTTTAATTCAATGAATTCTCATAAATGTGTATACCCAGATTACCACCACCCTGTTCAAGATTTGACATTTTTCTCACCTCAGAATACAATTTAATCCCTACTAGTGGGTCCTGATTCCACACAGGTTAGAAAATATTCGGATTTCAGTTTCGACTTACTGGTGCAGTCTGTTCTAAAAATTCAAAAAATCTAAAAACTGGAGTGTGTACTCTTTGTGCCTGCTTTCTTTTGGTCAACATAATTTTTGTGACTAATACATGTTATTGTGTACATTTTTTGTTAATTTTTTTTAAGTTCTGGGATACATATACAGAATGCGTAGGTTTGTTACATAGATATACATGTGCCATGGTGGTTAGCTGCACCTATCAACCTGTCATCTAGGCTTTAAGCCCCACATTCCATCAAGCTACCATTGGATTTCTTGATCGAATTAGAAAAAAACTATTTTAAATTTCATATGGAACCAAAAAAGAGTGCATATAGCCCAAGCAGTCCTAAGCAAAAAGAACAAAGCTGGAGGCATCACACTATCTGGCTTTAAACTATACTACAAGGCTACAGTAACCAAAACAGCATGGTACTGACACCAAAACAGATATATAGACGAATAGAACAGATCAGAGTCCTCAGAAATAACACCACACATCTACAGCCATCTGATCTTTGACAAACCTGTTTGTTAAATTTTTATTTCTGTAGTAGTTTTCCATGGCTAAGATATAAGACAGTTTGTTTCTCCATTCAGCTGTTTGTGGATATTTAGGTTATTTCCTGGTTTTGCTGATTAATAAATCTGCTTTGAACATGTTTGTATAAGTTTTTTAATTTTTGTTTTTTTACTTTTTATGTAAAAAAGAATATTTAAAAAATTTTTTTACTCAGAGTGGATGGCTAGGAGTAAAAAGCCTGTCTCACAGGTTAATATATAGTTAACTTTAGAGGAAATTGCCAGATAGTTCAAAATTTGTCATATCATTTTATACTCCCATCAGCAATGTGTGGGTGTTTTAGTTGCTTTACATTCACCAGTACATGTTATTGTCAGTCTTTTATATGTTAACAGTTCCACTGTCTAAGAATTAATAATACATTTTTACTGTAATGTGTAATTTTTACTGTAATTCCCTTGATCACAAATAAGGTTGAATCTATATTTTTTGCCTGGGTGTACAATATTGTTTGCCTTTTTACTATATTTGTTAATGCTCCATACATATATTTGACATGAATAATTTATTCTTAATAGAATTGTGTATTCGTTTGTTATGAATATTTTTCCATTCTATAACTGTCCTACTCATTTTATTTGTATCTTTTGATAAAGTCAGAATCTATCATTCTGTACTATTACATGATACATTTAATTTGTATATAAAGTCAGATGGATAAAGTTTTATCTCTTCATTCTTTTTCAGGTATATATGTATATATATGTACATTTATACATATATAAATGTAGAATTGTTCCAGCACCATATGTTATAAAGATGTTCTATTGAATTAACTTCGGTCATCATTCAAAATAAATTTACTGCATAAGGATAAGTATTTTTCTCAATTTTTCTATCTGTTCCATTTATCTGTTTGTCTACATTCAAAGCAATACTACATTTTCTTGATCAATATAGCTTTATATCTAAATATATAGTTGTGGCTTCTGCTGCTGTTTGTCTCTGCAGTTATTGGCTTTCATCTTATGCATCTTCAGCCTGAAAAACATCTTTTTTTTATTGCATTTTAGGTTTTGGGGTACATGTGAAGAACATGCAAGATTGTTGCATAGGTACACACGGCAGTGTGATTTGCTGCCTTCCTCCCCTTCACCTATATCTGGCATTTCTCCCCATGCTATCTCTCCCCACCTCCCCATCCCCCTGTCCCTCCCCCATTTCCCCCCAACAGACCCCAGTGTGTAGTGTTCCCCTCCCTGTGTCCATGTGTTCTCATTGTTCAACACTCGCCTATGAGTGAGAACATACGGTGTTTGATTTTCTGCTATTGTGTCAGTTTGCTGAGAAGGATGGTTTCCAGGTTCATCCATGTCCCTACAAAGGACAAGAACTCATCATTTTTGATGGCTGCATAATATTCCATGGTGTATATGTACCACATTTTCCCTGTCCAGTCTATCATCAATAGGCATTTGGGTTGGTTCCAGGTTTTTGCTATTGTAAACAGTGCTGCAATGAACATTCATGTGCGTGTGTCCTTATAGTGAATGATTTATAATCCTTTGGATATATACCCAGTAATGGGATTGCTGGGTCAAATGGAATTTCTATTTCTAGGTCCTTTTGACATTTCCTGTGGTAGAAGTCAGCTCTACATAAGTTCTCTAAACTATTGACTGAAAATATTTTCACTTTGCCTACATGTTTGAAGGATATTTTCTTCCATATACAGAATTCTAGGTTAACAGTTTTTTTTTTTTTTTTTTTTTATTTAAAGCTCTCATTTGATAATCTTTAACCTTCAGGTGAGAAGTCAGCCATATCTTGTCAATGTTACATGGTCTATAATATGCCTTTATTTTTCCCTTTAGCTGTTTTCAATAAATGTTCTTTCTCTTTGGTTTCAGCAGATTAAGAAAGACATCACAAGGTGTACTTACTTTCTCTCTGTTAGATTGAATTTCTTCAAGTATTTTTTCTGCCCCATTCTCTATCTCCTCTTCTTTTGAGAATAAATGTGTGCATATTTTAGGGTATTTAATATTTCTCCATATGCACTGAAGGCTTTATTGCTTTTTCACTCCTTTCTTCATATATCAGCTTGTCTTCAGGCTTACTCATATTTTCTCATGCTGACAGGCCCTTATTAAGCCTTCCAAGTGAGACTTTTGTTTTTATATCTTATTTTTTCTAGTATTTTGATCTAGTTCAACTTTAAGCTTCCATCTGCAGAATATTTCAGTAAGTTCATTAATAGTTTTCCCTTTTTATACTACATCCTTTAATATAGTTATCTGATTTACTTTAAAAAACTTTTCAGATAATTAGAACATCTGTAACATTTCCTTTTCTTTCTTGACCATGGGTCATATATTTTTGCTTCATGAAATGACTTATAGGTTTTTGTTTTATTTTTCTTATTACTGTATGCTAGACATCGTGAGATAAGGAAATGTAGAGACTGAAGTAAATAATATTTTTCCCCACTGAAGGCAAATATTTGCAGTAATGCTGCAAGTCTGGAGGCCTAAGTCAATCCAGTCCATAGTTAAGATGAATCTCTGCTTTGTAGTATATTTAGTTTGGATTCATTTCACTATTAAATGCAAATATTCTAAGTACAGAATCAGGACTTTTCTTTCATTAGATATTAAAATGTAAGCATGAACAAATTCCAGAGATTTTTTAAAAATTAACTCCCCAACTCTCAACTATCCCAAAGGAAGGAGGATTTTGCTCTGCTTTTCAACCCAACTGCTAGCTTTTTGGATTTCTACAAGTTCTTTCTGCTTTTTAATTCTACCCATGACTTTCTGCGCCTAAAGAGATTACCTTCTGCCTTGCTGCTTTACGTAAGCTTCAAAGGTTGTTGCAGTTTAGTGCATAGGCCCAAGGTTTCTCAGAAGTATTTTTCTGAGCTGCTCTGTCTTGAAACATTCTTAAGAAGGCTCTGATTCTCACTGAAAAAAAAAAAAAAAAAAAACCTTATTGCTTCAGAACAGACTCTTTCAGCTTCCTTAGTATGTATCTAGTCTTCATCATATTATATCATTCATGTGAAAAAGCATGTGAACAAAAATAATCAGGTAAACTTAAACTCCCTTTTTTTCTCCAAGATGAGACTTGTTGCTTACAGTAGTTAGTTTAGTTTTCTTTGCAACCTCAGTTCTCTGATCCTTTTAAGTCTCAGACTTTGCAGATTTTTGCAGATTATCAGGCAAGTTTTTGTGGTTAGAGTGAGAAGCATAAGTTCCTGTGACTTCCTTTATATTAATTAGTGGTCAAAGTTTAGCCCCCCACATTTTTACTTCCTGTCTGGTTTATTTTATTTCCACTTGTTTTATATAACGAACTTTTATTTCCACTTGTTTTATATAACGAACTTTTTTTATTTCCTGATATTTCCTATCTTGAACAATGTATTTGGTTTCAAGCATCTATTTGAATCTCAGCAATCCTTAGAGAATTTAGTTTCTATTTACCTTTGCATCTTTGTATTATTGCCACCC